TGATAAGTCATTACAAACATGGCGGCAATGGATGTAAACACATAGCATGTTGCTACCACGACACTAGCGCTCAGTGAGTTTACTATTTTATACTACTTCTGTGATATTACTACTACTTCTATTTCCCGTTGTCTTCTTTGTTGTTGTCTTTTTCACCAGTAGAAACAGACGGTTGTTGATCACGTGACTCCTGTGATGTGAAAAAAGTGTTTCCATTGTAGTTTTGCGAAAAACACCAATTTAGATACGGCTGAAAAACCACCTCATCCTAGTGCAAAAACATTTTGTCGAAAAACGTAATTTTTTTCTAAACTGACGTGTTTCCATTGAGCAAATTTATTTTTGAAATCTAATTTGCACATTTTCATGGTGAATGGAAACACAGCTTGTTTTTTGAACTGGGAGCTGGTTGTAAACAGGATGGTTCCTCTCTCCTTTAGTTTGGACTCAACGTCAAGCATTTAGTAGGGACTTTGTTAAAATGTTCAAACTTATTTTAGAGCTGTTTTTCCTTTTAGTACTCATAAAGCTCTGTGTACAGAATCCAAAACTAGTTTTTTTTTAATCAGACCACCCGTTAAGGATTTAGAGGTCTTTACAGGCTGATAATTAGGAAGCAAGCGCTCCACTGACTTCATTTTAACATAAAGTGAAGCTCCACAGACACACTGCTCGTCACAGTTTCCCAAGGATTTTTCAAACCAAAGCAGAAAACAAACGAGATAAAACCTTAAGATAGACTTTGAAATGCAGAGCAGAGACAGGGGTGTGTAGTGTTGTTGTGTGTCCGGTCCGTTTTAAATGAGCTTTGGTTCAGATGAGACGGCACCACGTCTGGATGGTGTTTATTAGGGATCCACCCATATGAAAATTTCAGTCCATATCGATGTCTGATATAACTATTGCTGTTATGGCCGATAACTGATATTTACCAATATTACACAAACAAATTATATTATAAACACACAAACACACTTGTGTCTTTTCTTGATACGGTAAATAAACAACCAGACGTCTGACATGACTCATCTGTGCAGCGTAAAGATCATGTTCATGATCAAACATAGTGTGTGTGTGTGTGTGTGTGTGTGTGTGTGTGTGTGTGTGTGTGTGTGTGTGTGTGTGTGTGCGTTGTTTCCCTCTGGGTGGAACACAAAGCACTTCCTGTTGGCTCTGGATGTCTCTGCTCAGATCAGTCTCCTCAGGCGGGTCGAGTTTTTAGAGCTGATCTGGATCAAACGGACAAAATCCCGTCGTTGTGTAACCCTGAGTTCACTGTGAAGAAACCAATCAGCAGAGAGGCATCAGGTGTTTACATTCTGTTGTTAAAGTAAAACTCAGCTGCACAGTTATGGAGAGCCTTTCATTCAAAAATAAATATAAATATTTATTAGGGCTGTGTGTTGGCAAGAATTTGGCGATACGATGTTTACCATGACAGAGGGGTCACGATACGATATATCCTAATATATTTCAATACTGTAAACAAGGTGAAATATTGTGATTTTTTGGGTCCAAAAATTCTACTAAATAAAAAACTCTTACTGGGAAAAAATGAAAAACCAAAATTCATTGTCTCATAAGACATACTTTTGATACATTTAGCTGTGTTCTGCTTTGTATGTGTTTTATTTTATTTGTTTCATATTTCATCCA